ATCCTATCGGACACCTCTCTCGTTCACTGCTACGAAGCTCACCAAAGCTCGTTGCTATCAGGAGTTCACCTCGTTCATCTTCACTTGAGACTCGGGATTTATAGTGTGAGGTGACGTCACAATTCTGAATGAGATCACTCTCCTCATTTACATACTTAACGCTAACAATAAACTTTTTTCGTTTCTCTGGCAGCCTATTTACGACAATTACTCGTTAACCTTTTACATTATTCTTTTTCACAATTTTCGGGACGTTTTTATTCTTTAAGGTTTAGCGAGTCCCTAATTCGTGCTTGTGGGGTCTCCCCCCTTTTCTCGGTGCGGACTTACTTTTTTCCACTCGGGAAGCGCAAGTGTGCGCGAGTTTTTTCTATGGCGTTTTTCTTTCGTCGGTGAGTTGGTTTTTCTTCTATTTTTAAGTTACTAAGGTGAATGGTGAGGAAACCTTCGTCCTAACAAAACATAAGCCCCAAACAAAGTAGAATAATAAGCAAAATAAAAGTAAATAAAAATAACATTCGGACTTGGTTCCTTACAATGCTCTTACCAAAATCTTACATATTGCTCTTGCTTTTCTCTCAACAGAAGTGCATTACATCTGTATGTGGTAGCGTCAAAGAAAACTCCAATTTCTTCCTAAAATATCTATGATAAGTTGCATATTTTATACACAGCTTCTTCAGTTTTCTCTTCCTAGTAATCATGGAATCTTCTTCACAGAAAGAATAGAATCTTTAAAGTATTTTTGTTCACTTTTTCACTGCACTAGTGAGAATCTTTGTGTGGCATGTTGATTAGACGCTCTATAGCAGTATATTTTTAAACATTGGTGATCTGTGGCTCACTAATTAATGACCTGATTCATCAATGTACCTAAATTCTTTCTTTTGTTAAAAAAAAAATAAGATATCTTAAAATAAGATATATATATCTTATTTTAAGATATATATATCTTATATATATCTTAAAATATCTTAAAATAAGATATATATATCTTATTTTAAGATATCTTATTTTTTTTTTAACAAAAGAAAGAATTTAGGTACATTGATGAATCAGGTCATTAATTAGTGAGCCACAGATCACCANTATCAGTTATTAAAAGTAATTTTAAGTGTTTTTTCCCTTCTCTCATATAGTAAATGTCCCTCCTCTCATATTGTTCTTTTACTTTTTTTTTATTACAAAAGAAAGTAAAAGAAATTGTATCAGAGTAATTGAAATAACACTGGTTTTTGGTATTAATCAAATTTTCAACATCTGGATTGATTGAAGTCAGTTTCATTCTTTTATCATTTTCAATCCCATGTTATTCTTACACTTGAGGATTTTAAGAACATTAAGAATTAAAATGCTAAGTAGCTGATTGGCATCGTATTGTTTGTTGTCCTGTTCTACAGTTCTAGATGTTCTGATTTCGTTTTTTAACTAAAGATCTATTGAATTAACATTGCTAAATGTAAGTTTTAAGAATGAGTTGCACAATAGTACAATTCATAACTTCTTTCTTGGAGGTAGAGCTGTATCATATTTTTTAAAATGAAAACATTGAAATGGCTCTATTAAATATGTAGATTTTAAACTAAGAAATTACTAAATTTTAATCTGCATATATAAAAGTATATTATAATCAAAATTAATTTATTGAGAAAAAACAAGTTTCAGTGTATATTTTTCTTTTTATTTTGTTTTCTTTGAATTTCTACAAAATATTTTTTGAGAGAATTTACATAAAAATTCCATTGTTTTTTCTTTCCATTTCTGTTATTTAGTAAATTTTGAATTTATTGATAAATTTATTTATTTCTTTTAAAATAAATATAGCAACTCTAGATGAAGATAAGGATGATGATTTTCGTACGCCACTTTATAAAAATGTAGAAATTAATGGAATATCTGTACGAATGAAATGGTGCGTCACTTGTCAGTTTTACCGCCCACCTCGATGTTCTCATTGCAGTATTTGTAACAATTGTATTGAAGTAAGTATTACATTTATTATTAATTGATTCACCCAACAAAATTACTCTTCCTTGGTCACTTTGTGATGTGTTGGAGTATGTTTTGATATTTTTATGCCCTTAGTTATATTGATTTTTGAACTAATCAAGATATAATTAATTCTTTTCAATTTTAACATAATTTTTTATTTGGGGATATACAACTTTTCTTTTTTCTCAGAAATCAATAAATTAAATTTATATATAATTATTATCTATATATATATTATTATTATTGAATTCAAATAAATTTTAAAAAACATTTGAAATGAAAGTTATTTCATTCTAGTTTTATTAATTATGATTATTGTAATTTTTCAGACATTTGATCATCACTGTCCATGGGTTAACAATTGCATTGGCCGTCGCAACTATCGATATTTCTTTCTCTTCCTTGTATTCTTGAGCATTCACATGATTTCTATTTTCAGTTTATGTATAATTTATATTTTGAATCATCAAGAAAAGCTCCATCACAGAGACACTATTATAACGTATCCTTTTTTCAAATAATGTTTGAACTAGTCTTGTTAGCTAGTAATACAAAACGACTATCAGTTATGATGAGAATTAAATATAATTAAATAATTTTTGTTTTCCTTCTTACAAAGACTGCATTTTATATAGAAAAAGGTTACTTTTGAGCTAATTAAAATTTATAATTTTCAAAAATGAATAATAAATAAATAGCTGAGTAAAAGACATGCTCTCATCATAACAATATTTTCTTATGACATAATTTTTATAATTAAAAAACAAAATAATAAGAATTGCTTTAAATATTTTTTGATCTAGTTGTAAATATGTCTATGATTGTTTATAACTTGTTTATATCCTGTAGAACAGCACTTCTCAAAGTGGTTGTTGACTATTGCTGTTCTGTAAACCAGCAGCTTGTAATTCGCAAACAGTTTGTAGGAAAGAAAAATAATTTTTAAAACCCTATTTTTCCAAACATACCTTACATTAATGATTGTGAAAATCATTAATTGTCCACTTTGCGTACTTCTCTGGTCAAGCGATAAATTGGAGTTCATACAACTCTCTCTGTACATCAGAGACTGTGTTGTAAGAGTCTCCTTTACTTTTTACTTTCCTGGCTGTTATGTATCCATAACAAGGGAAAGTACTGGAATCATATCAAATTTGACCCTCAGAGTTTTTTGCATATCTCCACATTTTGAGATCTAAACCCAAAAAAGTATTAAAAAAAAAGACAAAAAATTCCATTAGAGTGTGAAATCTGCAAATTTAACACAGTTGTTTAAAAAAAATGTAAACAACTCCTATATAAAAAAATGCTCCTTGTGAGAATTAAATTAGAGGTCACCATTTGTGATAGCAATTAGTGGGAAAGTTGACACATAGGTGTCAAGAATGCACCGTTATTGTCAACATTTGGCGATCATGTGACTCCTTTGCCACAACAAATGAATAAAAGCTTGAGCCCGGAAGCTTGGGGGTAATCCAAAAGAAGTTATACTTGTCAATGTGTGCATCTCGTCTCTTGGACCTCCATACAATGGACTTGAACAAATGAAAGGAGAAGATATCAGTAGAAGACAGACCACGGCTTTGAACTTCCATACTTATTGCCATACTATAGTTCCTATACTGTATTATGATTCCTACAAACCATTCGTTTCCTCATAGAAATATTTTTATTAGAGCATTGTGAACTCTCTCTCACTCCGAGAATAGGCGTAGCTGCTAAGAGCTGCTCCTTTGTATATCTGTTTAATATTTAATTGCATTTGTTAACCTTAGTTATTCAATAAATGCCTTGTTATTTTGTTAAACCTGTCTTCTGTCTCTGAAAGGACACCTGCTGACTTGCTCACCTCCCTTGCCACTCAAGAGAAAGCCATCCGAAATGACAGCGTGAGTGGTCCTTACAGACTGTTGCTGAGTAAGTGGTCAGATGGGATTGACTCTTGGTCCACGGTATCTCACAAGAGTGTGTGTGTGTTGGATTCTATTTTGTCTTTTTTTTTTAATATCTTAGGATGGAGTGAAGATTAAGAAAAAAATTGGCTTGTCAGCTTGTGTATAAGGAGCAATTATGCTATTAAATTTTGATGGTGAAAGGCCAAGGGGTGGGGAGATAGAGGGGATTATGTGTCTTATGTCAAATTGGGTCGGGCTTAGTGAAGATGTTATAGGTTATTAGCATTTACAGTTTTTTATGAAACTGATTACTACTCTGAAAGTCAAGCTTTTTGCCATTCAGTGATGATTAAAAATATAGAAATATTTTATAACATATGGCACCAAAAATAATTTTATTTATTATATTGTAATTAAAAGTATAAAAGTTATTTTCTAAATAAAATCTCATAACAATCACATTGAAAGTGATGGCACTTTTAATATAATAAACTCACAAAAACCTTTAAGTGAGCAGTAAAATATTTAATTGAAAAAACAACAAACGTTTTCGACCATATTTTTACGTTTGTTGTTTTTTCAATTAAATATTTTACTAGTCACTTAAAGGTTTTTGTGAGTCTATTATATATATTGGACCAGTATCTGGTAATGAGTAATCTTTACACAAGGCACTTTTAATGTGATGTCAAATGAGATTTTTGTAATTATGTGACTGTTTTTCTTTGACATTCTGGTATTGCCATTGTTTAAGATACCACTCGTGATGTAGTTCTAAAGAGTAAATGAATATTTCCAGTATCTCTCTGTAAACTATCACTCAAAGAATTTGTTTACAAAATTATGAAAATCAGCAATCACTGTATTGCTTATAGCTTTGTGCTATAATCTCATCTCATATGGTTTTTATTGGCAGTGAATTAACTAATAAGCAATACATACAAAATAAAATATCTTCAGTGATATAATATATATACAGTGGGTAATCGGTTAACGAACAGATTGGATAATGAACAAATCAGATAATGAACACTTTCGTGAAAGATTTTTATGTTCGGACAACGAACACCCCACAGAACAAACACAAGAGACAGCAACGTAAAATAATGAATACCGATTGGTCTTCCCTTGTCTTTGGGCAACAATTCAAAACTTTTCGGAGTATGGGAGACGTCGACATTGATGCTCAAGCCGGTATATACCGATCGGATAGTATTCCTCCGAACTTTGAAACTCTCCCTTGTAACTCCAGCCTTTTATTTTTCTGACAAAACAATTCTTTTATGAAAATTAATAAATTCTAAAAATTTTTTCGTTTAAAAAACTTCTAAGAACCACAAGTGACGTTCACTCTTTAATTCCGACTTCGATAGAGTTTAAAAAAACAGAGAAAACCAGAGAATTATTTTCACTATCTCTTACTTTATTATGTTATCCATATATATTTCGCTATTTTAGCCTCTTCAGTGGATATTACACTGTTTAGATGCCAGTACTATTATAGTTCATCAAGCTATCCCAGCATGCATCGACATATGCTCCGGTATTTAAATTTATACAATTTGCATGTTCTTTAATACAGTAATGTTCTATGATGCGTGTTTTTACTAAATTTTTTTCTTTATACAAAATTTTAATATTACTACGATCAATAAGACAATTTTTAATACTGCAGTGTTGTTGCCACGGGGATTCAGTTCTGTTCAATCGAATTGCCGCCNTTATAGATGGCATTACAATTGGTGAGAATGAGGTTCACTTCATTTTTTTAAATGGGCATTCCCCAGTTTTTATTACATATTATGATTCTATATCAGAAATGAACAACTTTTATTTAAGATTTTTTTAATGAATTACATATTTTATATAAAAAAGTTAAACTTTTCTATCTTAATTAAGAGATTTTATAATCTTTTATAACTTGTGGATAAGGAACTCCTTTTATAATGTGCAATTCTGTTTGCTTTGAGTTCTGGACATTTATCTTTCCTACACATTGTTTAAAGGTTTAGGACTGTCTGTAATATAAAATTATATTATTAGAGCTGAATTTATTTTGATTTTATATTTTTGTTTTAGTTAGATATGAAATCTTTCTTAACTGTATTTAACTTAAAATAGTTCTAAATTTTTCTTATCTCGTTTGATGCTAGATAATGTAAAATTGGATATTTTATTTTAGTTCTTTTTAATATCAGGCTCAGCTTATGTTAATTTCTTACTTTATAATTAATTTTATATTTTATTTTTATAAATTATATATTTTCAAATTTAAATATTGGTTTATTTAATTTCCTTAAAATGTTAACAGTATAGTAATAGTTGTAATCATCACACTGCTATTTATCCCAATTTTGGGTCTAACAGGTTTTCATATTGTTCTTGTATCAAGAGGCAGAACTACTAATGAGCAAGTAAGTTATTTCATAATTAATTTTAATTTGCTATTCTAATTAAACTTCACAATTTCAGTCAATTTATTTCTTACTTTTATAGTGTACAAAATAATGTGTATGCGTATCAACTGAACTGAATAAAAATTAAGATGAAAAGCGCCAAGTAGTTGAGTGGTTGCACTACAGTGTTAAAAAACAGAACAAATAACAACACTGTTTCAAAATTACTAGTTACAGTAGAACCCCTCTAATTCGTCACCTTTGGGACTGGGGGTATGGTCGGAACGCAAAAAAGGTCGGATTATCAGAAAAAAGTAAAATAAACAATCTTTCCCTTTGTCCAGTCTTTGTAGCACTGCTAATTTTTCATTTAATGAAAGAGTAACGTGTTTACATTTCACTCCTNAGGAACTCCTTTTATAATGTGCAATTCTGTTTGCTTTGAGTTCTGGACATTTATCTTTCCTACACATTGTTTAAAGGTTTAGGACTGTCTGTAATATAAAATTATATTATTAGAGCTGAATTTATTTTGATTTTATATTTTTGTTTTAGTTAGATATGAAATCTTTCTTAACTGTATTTAACTTAAAATAGTTCTAAATTTTTCTTATCTCGTTTGATGCTAGATAATGTAAAATTGGATATTTTATTTTAGTTCTTTTTAATATCAGGCTCAGCTTATGTTAATTTCTTACTTTATAATTAATTTTATATTTTATTTTTATAAATTATATATTTTCAAATTTAAATATTGGTTTATTTAATTTCCTTAAAATGTTAACAGTATAGTAATAGTTGTAATCATCACACTGCTATTTATCCCAATTTTGGGTCTAACAGGTTTTCATATTGTTCTTGTATCAAGAGGCAGAACTACTAATGAGCAAGTAAGTTATTTCATAATTAATTTTAATTTGCTATTCTAATTAAACTTCACAATTTCAGTCAATTTATTTCTTACTTTTATAGTGTACAAAATAATGTGTATGCGTATCAACTGAACTGAATAAAAATTAAGATGAAAAGCGCCAAGTAGTTGAGTGGTTGCACTACAGTGTTAAAAAACAGAACAAATAACAACACTGTTTCAAAATTACTAGTTACAGTAGAACCCCTCTAATTCGTCACCTTTGGGACTGGGGGTATGGTCGGAACGCAAAAAAGGTCGGATTATCAGAAAAAAGTAAAATAAACAATCTTTCCCTTTGTCCAGTCTTTGTAGCACTGCTAATTTTTCATTTAATGAAAGAGTAACGTGTTTACATTTCACTCCTGACATGTTGAAAACACACACAAAACTGTACATGTACACACAATGTAAAACATACTGTAACGAACACAGAAAAACGCCACGGACGGTGAGTCACCGACGAGTCGGGACAAGTTTCTCGACTCTGATCACGGTCGGATTAACCGGAGTGACGGACTAGCCGAGGTTGGACTAGAGGGGTTCTACTGTATGTTAAAATTTAATTAATTATCAATTTTGAACAAAACAACATTAGAAACATTTTAAAATTGGAATCCTTTCTTGATAAAATTTCAGTTTTATTATTTTATATAAAATTAAATTTGGAATTATTAAAACAGGATTTTATAATTTCAAAATATTTCAAACATATAACAATCTTATCAGAACATTTTGAGGTTTTAGTTTATTCATCAAATTACATACTACTCATGCAGAATAATTAATTATTTGATTAACATAATTAAATTTTCACAAACAAAATTAAAATATGAATGATAATTTCTAAGTCAAATATGGATAATAACTTCTAAGTCAAATATGGATAATAACTTCTAATAAAACTATTTTACCTTACGTAGAAATAAATGATTAGCGGAATTTATTGTTAAGATAAGTGGAATTGTCATTTATGATTGGCTCTGAAATTATAAAACAAGATTTTTAATATGATTAAATGATTAATAATTTAGAAATGTATACTTACTGTAAAAATAATTTTAAAAAAATAACAGAAATATAGTTTTTTTCTTTTGTGAAAATTAAATACAGATGTGTCTCAGGTTCTGACTATTTCATAATAAAACCAACCACAGGTACGACCATTATATATTTCTACCCCTACTATGATTCGACATAGCTAACCCCATCGATACAATGCTTCATCCATTTCTAGTATTGCTATCTGTCCAGTTTTTGCATTGTGTTTGTGTCTAGGTGAAGACAAAAAATGTGTGGATTTTAAGAAAATTTTTCAAATTGTCAATAATTAATTATTTTTTACTGATATGGCTGATCTTAAAACTGACAAACAAAATGAATCTGTTAATTTACTTAGTAAGTCATTTATAACAACATTCCAGATTAGGGGTTTTGATACTGAGCCTTGAGGACAGTCTTTATTTAAGGAGTAGGTTTTTAACAAAGCTCAATTTAAGCTTAGCTGTTTTGTCTTTTAATTAAGAAATCCTTGAGAAAGTAGAAAATATTTTGTGATACAGTAGAGCATCGATTATCCGACCCCCGATCAACTGTCACATCGGTTAACCGACCGCGTTCTAGTCATCAAATTCAAATGTCTGCTAGTGATGTGGTGCTACAATATTTGGCTATGTCTTGGCTACTTTAATATTATTTTTGTTAAATTTTTGCGTGTTTTAGTTGGCAACATCGGCTCGACCATAGAAGGGCGGCCAGTATTTAAACGAGACTTAATTTTCTAATTATGAGTGGTTGTTTGTTTTGTGAGCAATAAAATAATTTAAAAATAATTTTTAACGATACAATAGCGACGATTATTATTTTAAAAAAATTTGTTAGGCTTAACATAGATGAAAATTCAACGCAAAGTTGGTTAATAGCGATACTAATATACTAATTACATGGGATATACTAATATACTATACTAGTAATGTATTTTTTTCATTCTTTTTGGTTATCTGATTTTTTTTCAGTTNTATTATTTTAAAAAAATTTGTTAGGCTTAACATAGATGAAAATTCAACGCAAAGTTGGTTAATAGCGATACTAATATACTAATTACATGGGATATACTAATATACTATACTAGTAATGTATTTTTTTCATTCTTTTTGGTTATCTGATTTTTTTTCAGTTATCTGACCAATCTGAGTCCCAATTGAGTCGGATAATTGATGCTCTACTGTACTTTGGTATCTCTAATAAGTTTTAAAATTGAGGGCTGCCATGCATTGTAATATGCACCTTTGATATCTAGAAATATTAACAGGGACATCAATCCCTTCTTTCTCTGCTGTAGAGTAACACAATTTAAGAAGAGCATCTTTGCAGAATGCTGGGGATTGAAACCATATCAATCATTTCTCAAAAATTTTCCACAAGGTGAAACTTTCTTTTATATAAAAAAGTATGGGAATTGGAAATTTATGATAGAAACTACTTTATTACAAAAGTTGCCTCTAGCCTGTGGTATAATTATATTAATTAAATTATCTGCCTCACGGTTGTTGATAATTTAATTAATACAGTAGAGTTCTGAAAACTCGGCACTCGATAACCTGGCAGTCTGGATAACTTGGCCACCAGGGCAAATCCTCTAGTTAATTTTCATTGTAGACAGTTTTAGGGCTCAAAGTATTTTTCTGAGGTCTGTCTTATCAGGTAAATTACTGTACACTGTGTATTCATTAATTTTCATTTTCATGTAGTAAAGGCTCTATGCCTTCATAAAGTATGTACTTTTCCTTTGTTTAAGGGTATTTGGGCAGTTTATTCTCTTTTGTATTCTTGAGCAAACAATACATACAAGTACAGTACAGTATTTTCTGAGGAAACACTCGTACTTATTCTTTTTTAACCCCATTCCCGATAACTTGGCATTTTCACAAACTCGGCCACCCTTCGGTCCACATTAGGCCGAGTTTTCGAGACTCTACTGTGTAATAAACTACTATTTTATGGAATGCATTATGTACAGTCCATAATCTTTGGGTATGCCAGTGTTAAAGTTAATGCATGAAATACTGTTAATACCATTCGCACATCAACAATTAAACAGTGATGTTGACATTTGAAAGTAAATCATATGTTTCCAAAATCTAAGCATATCATTTTGATATTTCAGAAACTCAGTTTTTTTTCTCTCTAATACTGTATTGTTAAAATAAAAAAAATAACAGTATTTTGATTCTTTTAATTACATATATGCAACAATTATTGCTTTTTAATTTAATATAACTGATGTTGATTCATTTTTCTATAAAGTGAAAAATCTTAAGTGTGATAGATAAAATTGTACAACATAGATTGTTTCATTATGTTGTTTTTATGTCAATAAAATTGAAAAACTTTGCAAGGCTACATAAAAAGAAATGGATGTTTAATGTTCTTCAAATTTTAGATAAAATAGAAAATATTTTCTATCAATACTCTTTTGAGCTTGAAGTTTTGAAATTTTAGTTAGCATTCATATTGTGCTTTTATGTTAATTATTTCATCTTTTTATTTGTTTGATAATAATGAATATCAGTATTGAATAAACTGCATATAAGTTATGAATAAGGTGATAGAAATAAGTTTTCGAAAACAATGTTTGAGTTTATCAACAGTGCTGTTCAATTTTTGGTTTTTGTATCTTTGTCATATCATAACATTTATTTTCAATGAGTAAAGAAAGCAGAAAAGATAAAGTTAGATATCATTTTTATAACTGAAGTTTTTCTGTAGATGCTTTGATTGCATCTAGTATCAGTAGTAATATTTTCTGCATTATTTATTTGTATAAAGTAATTTTTTTTTGAGTTTACTTGCATCAGGTTTACTGGTATGAGTCAAAAATAAACTTTTTTCTTCTTGTTTTCAGAATCTCTCAATCCAAAAGCAGAAATTTTTAAAATAATAATCAGTTTCAGATTAATTTTCAAACAGTTCATATTTTAAACATTAATTCAAAGAACATTCCAGCTTTTGTGTTATTGTATAACAAATTGTTCTTTAATTTTTATATATTTACTATTATTAATTTCATAATATAAACCAGAAACATTTTAAAAATGATAAAACACTTATTCTGATGGCCAGTTAAATGTTTGCATATTGCTCTTTGGTACCCTAGAGCAAATCTGGGCAGCTGAAAAAACTTTCAATTTTTCAGAGGTGGTTGGTTCATCCTGGATATATTGGGCCCTGTCTCTGACTATGTGGTTCCTTATTGTGGCTCTAGCTGAATCATGGCTTGTTAAAAAAAGACTCCTTAGTATCTTTCAAATGGAAAGAATTAAATATTCAATGTCTGCATAAGAACTCATTTTTAAGGTATCATTTCCTTTACTTTCCTGATATTTATTACATAGTTTAAGCTGGGAAAAATTTTCTGTAGCATTTTAGCTAATTTTACTAAAAACATTGTAGCAAAATTTTAGAAACTGTAGCTAACATTTCTCATTTGTGAAGCTGCCCAGAACAATACACAATACATTATTGTTTAAACATTTTTTTATTCTCATAGATACTGTACGTTATTAAAGTGTACTGCACTACCAATACAACTGTAAATCTATTGTTACAACCTGTAAGCATCATACATTATTGACATTTTTTTTTGTTATCTTTAATTACTCAGCTAGATCTGTAGGGAATTTATCTCCTATAGTTTGTATTGTTTTTGTTTCCAGTTTGCTTCAACATATTTTTCTAATGCTCTATTAGCTACTGCATTCATTATTATTTTTGTTATGAGATGATCTTTTTTTCTTTTATTTTTAGGATCCTTCTTATGTTTACTATGATGTATTTTATTACTACAGTAGAGCCCCCTATAACACGGAATTCTACAGTAGACCCCTCTTACAACATGGAATTCATGTTGTAAGAGTCACTTAAATACATGAGCCAATCACAGTCAGGCATGTATGCAGTTTAGGGACTATGGCTGTTTGAAGGTTTTCTTCCATAAAATTAATCGATTCTAGATTAATTTGACTCAACATTTTCAAAACACATATAATTTTTTGGGAATAATCCATATAAACTATGCTATAAACAAAAAATTGTAGGATTACTTACAGAGTGTGCATCGTTCGATGACGCCATTGCTTAAGCTTGTTTTCGTTGTTGAGCTGCGGGTGTGTGTTTCCTGATAAGTTATTTGTCTGTGAAAAATTTGCTGAACTTTGGAGACATCATTAATTAATATAAATATAATTTTTATGGCCATTAAATAATAAATGATTTTTAGTAGGTCCGCTGCTCGTTTAAACTCGACAATTTGTTCAATATCTGCTATTGGTCTAGATTCGATTAATCCTGTCGCGACACGAGTCGGCGACGACATTTTACCGTATTATACGAGTCTGTTTTAGCATGTTTATACGAATACAATCACAATTTTTTCATTGTGTTATACAAATCCGAATTATATGAACTGTGTTTTAGCGGTACTTGTTTATTTATATCATATATTCATATTTCATATAAAGTTGATTTTTTTATTATTTACCAATTTCTCAGTTTCATTTTTAGTCATGCCATAAATATGGTTGCTTCGCTGTGCACAGCTTTAATCTGTTTACATAATCTTTTCTTTAGTAACTTTATCTATGTAATTTTATTTTTAGAAAATAGTTTTCTTTTTATAGTTTTTAAATATTGTATACCCAACACTTATGAAATTTATTATTCAACAATAACTTTATGTAAAAAAAAATGTTATTTTTAAATAAAAATTTACACTTTCAAAGAACAAATTTAAGATGGATTTAACAGTTGGTCCAATTCCAAGTTTACATATTTGATGTTAGCAACAGAGTTATTTATAGTTTTACTCCAAATAGGACCAAAATTACGTTATTTTCTCAGTGTAAAGGTTACCTACTACTATGAAAACTAAAAATTTTTATTATTATTTACTGGCTTTAAATCTATAAAACATTAAATAAAATTTAGGCAGAAAGTTTCTTGTACTTTTGTAATAATTATAACTTTATCAGAAGAAACAAGACATAATTATGATCTTTTAAAATGAAGAATATTAGAATTTTGTAACATAGTTAATTCAGAAGATAGCAAGTAGGGTTGAAAATTGGTTTTCGAAATCTGGCCTTAATTGGAATTTGAATATTACATTTGGAACTAAAAACCAATTGTTAAATCTGATTTTACCAAATAAAGTTATGCTCAATTTTTTTTCTTAGTTTTATATAAATAATTGTATAAATTTATACAAAGAACCTGCTGGTGTATTTAATGTATAGTTTTAATCCATACAAAGACACAATTATATAATAATCAATGAATTTATAGTGCAAATTAGAACAGTTTAGAACGCAGTTGATCCACTTAAAAGTTAAAGTTTGCCTGAAAAATACAAACTGCACAGTAGTTGGTTTAAATTATCATTCATATTTCTGTGAAAATTTCTTTTTTAAAAGTGGAAATGCATCTTAAATTTGAACTAATACTATGTTAGAAGTAAACAATTTTGGATATATTGCAATGATTTAAACATAATACTACATGGGCTATTGTAATTGTATTTTGTTATTTTGTTTATTAACAAGATGTCAGTGAATATAATTATCTGAAATTGTTTCTTAGGTTACTGGAAAATTTCGAGGAGGATATAATCCATTTTCACGTGGTTGTTGTGGAAATGTTTGCCATGCATTATGCGGTCCACAGTATCCAAGGTAAAAGAAAAGTATTTTCCGTATAACTAATTTATCACTATCAAGAAAATGTCTTAGTTGGAGGTCTAAATTGTTCCTGTTTTAACAAAAATGCTTTGTTTGAAATAAATAACCGCTATGTATTTAAGCAATTATACAAAAAGGTTTGTGGGATAAACATATTTAAAATCAATCTTTCAGGTATAAAGGAAGAAAAAAGTCCTTGAAAAATTTATCAGTACCAGCTCCTTCTGTTTCAGCACGGATGACAGAGAATCAAGTTAAAATTTACATGGATAACAGCAATGTTTCCAGAAATACAAGTGGAAATTCATATAATAAAGTATAATGTTTTGTTTTATAAAGTTTAAAAATTCTGTTAATTGAAATGAAATCTTTATATAATTAAAAATATTTTTTATTTTATCAAAATTTTGTAAGTAATTCTATGAAATAGATTATTGCCTTTAAAAATATAACATAGATATCTTTAAATCAAGTTATAAAATTTGGAATCAGGTAAATTTTTCTTTAGTTAATAAGATTCAGCCATTGTAGTATATAATTTACATACAAGGTGGTTCATTTTAATCAATCCGCTGGAATAATTGTAAAAAGGAGTAGCCTACAAAAAATTAATTGAATTGAAAATGTAAGACTTCAAGAGAGTCACAAGATGGGCTATTGGTTTTGTTATAGATGGCATTACAATTGGTGAGAATGAGGTTCACTTCATTTTTTTAAATGGGCATTCCCCAGTTTTTATTACATATTATGATTCTATATCAGAAATGAACAACTTTTATTTAAGATTTTTTTAATGAAAGATACACTCATTGTAAGTTATTAATATTTGAATTTTTAGGCAACTGTCACATTGCATGCATTCATCTATGGATATCCATGAAGTTCATTGAAAAAAACAAAAGAAAAATGCTTAAAAAAATTATGAAACATATATAATAATATTTTTGGTGGAATCATTGTTTATCTTCAAATAAAAAACTGATACAAAACTTGTGCAAAAGCAATAGGTCCATATTTATTTCATAGAAATGTGAACAGACAAAATTTTTTGTAGTTTATAAAAGATGAACTACCAGTTTTACTTGAAGTTGTTGATCTTCATATAAGGCAAAGGATGTAATTCTGTTGGATGGAGTAGTGACTCCACTATGCATGAATGTAGTAAATTATTTAATGGAAGGTGGATTGGTCAACATGGACCAGTACAATGGCGCACAAAATCTCTGGACGACTTTGCCTTACTTTGATTTGTAGAGATATGTAAAGAATGTTGTCTATGAACAGGAACTGTCAGCTAGAGAAGAATTTGGACAGTTTGTGCAAACATATCACAAAATGCTTTATTAATTAAAAAACTGTGAAACATTTCCAACAGAGAATTGACTTTTGAACTTTACAGATTAGCCACAGATGGGTTCATAATGGGGCAGCTGTATAAGGCCAAGATTCCACCAGTGTAAAAATGAGTGTAAAAACACTTGCCATAAATACTTTTAATCACATGACCTATTTGTATTTGTGCTCGTATTGTGGTGGAGGTCCAGTTTCACTAGCAAAGTTTTTATTTTGACGGTACTATCAACGTTACGGTTGTATATGTGATGTAGCGATATAAAGACAATGATTACATTCCACGATTTTTCTGTAGTATAATTACAAATGTAGTAAAAATAATATCTTTACTTTCATATATTAACTTTTATTATAATATTATTAAGATACTATACAGTGGACATCCATATATAACACAACAAAAATTTTGCAACTAGAACCCATACACCGTGATAAACAGTCCTGTATAATGCGTAAGTTAAATTTAATGTTTTCACATGGTTTCAGATTTTTTGTTTAGAAAAGCAAAAATATACATTTACCAGTTGTTTATATATGAACAGTGAAGCTTTTTAATATTGGTAATTCAGATTCATTGCTTGAATAGTCAATAGTTTCATCTTTATTGTTGTTGTTATTTAAAAACAATTTTTTTTCCTCCATTTTTTGATTTAAAGTATGGAGATAGACAAGCATTAAATTTTCTTATAAATTCCATAAAGTTCTCTTTTGACGGATCTACTTTCATAAAATGTGTTTCTAGCATTTTGATTATTTCTAACCCTTTATTTATATCTTCTAAATTCAAGGGTTGCTCTGGTTCATTAAAAGTCTGGAATGAGTTCTCCTTAATCATTCCTTTTATTTCCTTAATCATTAATAGAATGAGAACAATTTGGTAATTCTATTAATTCTGTTTCGTCAATATCTTCATTGTATACTAAGAAACACACCTGATTTCTATATTTCTAATATTGCTGAGAAGGAGATAGATAATCTTCATTGTAATTAATTAATTCAGTGATATCTGTCTCATTTATATCAACAAATCTCTCTCCACAATAATATTTCAAACTGAATCACATGTCACTAGCAATATGTGATAACAGTTAAAATGTATAGACACGTTTGAACTTGCATAAATTGGTCTGATAGTGTATGTCCCCTATAATGCGGTTTCCTACAACATGGAACGTATTTACTCTGTGTTGTACGGGAGTGTACTGTACTGCACTTATATGCTTAGCTTTTTTATTGTACACTCATCTAATTTGAAAGATTTTTCTTTGGCTGTCCATATTGCTTATTTTAGGCATCCATTACTATAATTGGGCTGCCTCTTGTCATAGATACATGGATACTTTTGAATGTTTTTGATAAATCTTTCCAGATCTATTCTAGGTCTTTTTTAAGTAGCCATGAGAGAATGTACAGTATATAAAAGATTGTTTTCCTCCATTTTCACACGATGTCACAATGATGTAGACTCTACCGACTTCTGATTGGTTGATGGTACTGTTTTATGGCCGTATTCGCATCGAAAGTCAAACACTGCTCAACTCGCTTTACACTGGTTTTACGACCTGCTCTGGTGTAAAATATCATGTTCATCTGATCAAAAGTATTTATACTGAGGGTTTTTATGCTTGTTTTTGCACTAGTGGAGTATCAGCCTAAAAGTTAAAATGCTCATAACTTTCGACAAGTACATTTTTGAAAAAAATGTCTTCAATTAAAGTTTGTTTTCAATATAGAATTATAATATGCAATAAAAAAATGAGTGTTCCCATTTATGAAAATGAAGTTGATCCTGTTGTCACTGATTGCAGTGCAGTTTTTGATGAAAGCAATAGCTCCGTCAAATGACCCTCTTGCAATCTAACATTTTGGTTTAATGATTATTTTGTAGGATACATATTTTTTGAGTTATTCCAGTGAATTGATTAAAATGGACCATCTTGTGTATGCATGACTGAATATTATGTTTAAACATGAGATTATAAATTGAAATCATTAATCCCTTGGTCTGATTATGTACCGTATTTTTCGCCGTATAAGACGCACTTTATCTCTCCAAAATCGGGGGGAAAAGTGCCTGCGTCTTATACGGCAAATACAAAAGCCCACCATGGCCCTCCGCTGCCCCTCCACTTCTGCATACATACATAACCGCAGGAATACTCGGCCACTCCGTTCCCTTCCACCTCTTGGCGCCGTCTGATACCAGGAAGCTCCGCTCTGCCTCGCACTGGCTTTGTGCGGTCTTTGCCTCGCGCTGCGATTGGCTGGGCGAAGAGGCACGTGCCTTCGCTCTCTCCCGCGCTGGCTTTGTGCACTTTTTAGAGTCTCGTAAGCCAGCACGGGAGCGGGTGAAGGCACTCGTCTCTGCGCTCAGCTAATAGCAGTGATATATGTAGTATGGTATATCTGAATGAAATATATCATATTTCATACCACCCCATCAAGATGTCAAAGCAGAAGAGACTGTTTATGATAGTAAAGATAGCTCTTAGTATGTTACATGGTTGACATAAAATTTTTCTTAACTGCTGTTAACTTTATACAGTTGATATAAAATATTTTACTACAGAATTTGGTTCATAATCTTTTTTTTTTCTGAATTTGCCTCCTTTAAAATTGGGTGTGTCTTATACGGCGAAAAATACGGTATTTTTTTGCAGTCTCATTTTTTTCAGGTTGACTGTCCAAAAGTATTAAATTTTTTCATTCAAATTAGATATATAGTTAATTTCAATGAAAAATATGCAAAATTTAGCTTCTACATGTGTTTTTTTCTATGAATAAAATAGAGATTAACTGTCACTAATACCAGTAACTAATTGATCATCTGATTCAGATAAGTGAACTTCACTCTCTCTCTGTAATATGCTTTTTGTCTAATCTTGTGTTCAATTATACTAGCTCTATGATGGCTTTTCCTTTTTCACTAGATTTATTACACCATCAGTCAGAAAAAGGACAAACTTTTCACTTGTCCTGTTTCTGATGGTGTAATAAGTATAGCGAAAAAGGAAAAGCCATCATAGAGTTAGTATAATTGAACTTCTCTTCGGAATCAGTAAAATGGTCAACATCATCAACATCCATCAACAAAAATTTATAAAATTATAATTTCTCACAAACTAATTTGTTTGAAAGAAAAACTATCAAAAAGAAGTTAGAGATGTTTTCATATTGTAAAATGAAAATATCTGTAAAAAATGGCTAAATAATTTTTGTAAGATATGTGAGATTAGCAGTGGGTCACTGGTTAATCCCCAGATGACCACTTACTCTGCACGGGTTGGAAAAACCCAATCTTGGAGTCAGTTGGATGGCTAGGAGGTCAAATCGAGTGGGGAGTGTATTGGTAAGTCGGCAGGTTTCCTCGGAAAGAAAGGAGACAGGTTCAACAAAATAACAAAGCATTTATTGAATACTAAATCTACACTACAGGAGGTGAACTTATTACTAAGGTTAAATGCGGTTATATTAAAATATTTAGAGAATATGACGACTACTTTCATAGCTATGTCGCTGACCTAATTTATAGTTCGAGAGAGAGCGCTTTTCAAAATCTAAATTCCCTAAATACCTCTGGGTGGAAGGGAGAGTTGGCGAATGTCATCTGTATGGAAGGGTGTGGTATCTTCTCTGACGGGATCACAGTCCTTGGTATGGAGATCGACGAACACAAGTACCAAGAATACCTTCCCTGTGCGGACGCCCTGAGCTACCGGTGATCTCCCCTTTTATATCTTTTCATGAGAGAACTGACACGTGATCGACTTTTGTTGACGATGATGGTGCATTCTTCACACCTAAGCGTAAACTTTCCCAGCTAGTTGTTATACAATTGGTGAAATCCGATCTAGTTCAAGTTCTTCAGGTTTTTCCGAGGATATTTACAATTAACAGAAAATTTAGATTTTTAAGAGGCCCGTAAAAATCTGCGGGCTCACACATAGCACTGTCTATTGGACA